ATTCATCATTGGTAAGTGATTTTGAAGGTGCAGTAACTGTTAATTTGACATGGAAAATTCCCCAAGTAACTGAATTTCATATGTAAGCTTTCTCCTTCTCTGTCCTGGATTAGTTAGAATACAGGAAGGAATCGAAACAATAAGCATAAAAGAGGACGAGAAAAGGAGAATAAGAGAGTTGTAACCTTTGTCCTTCTTTCTTGGCATTAGTAGTATGACAAAAGTGTTCAATAAATACCCCTGATTTTTTTTTTCTTTATGTTTGACAATGGCCCTGATAAATGACCTAGAGTTGCTTCAGATGTTCTCAGGCAAGTGGTTTCTGGTTCTAGTTTATTTATTGTTGTTCTTATTGGGAAAAGTGGATCTATTTATTTTTCATTTTAAAGACAGGAGGAGAGATCAGCAACTGTAGGTCCATCGTTTTTTCAGTTGATCACTCTAGCTGTGCCATATATAAGATAGAATAACACATGTTGAACAGTAAATTTCTGGTATGGGCCTGTTTAGTTCCTGAAGGTGGAAGGAAATGGATCTGCTTAGTTCCCATTGCAAGCCCTCGTTATAATCTTAAAACAGTTTATACATGAAGATTTGCCATTGTTTGGGGATGGTGAAATGCCACTTGTCATTGCCATGCTTTGTGCCTTTGATTGCTATTTATGGTATTTGAAAAATTCAAGTTCTGAGAGTTGGACCCATGTAGGTTCTCTCAATGCATATGATATATGCACTTGGTAGTATTTTGATGGTTTTATCGAACACATTTCTATTATTTTTCTAGAAAACTTGATGCTGCAATTTGGGAGTATTATAAGTTTATAAAATCACACAGGTACTTCTGCTTGCAGAGTGCTTTAATGTTGAAAATGAAAGTAGAGACTTTTGACGTGCTTTGTTTTGTAATTGGCAATCTCTACCAAAGTCAGAATGGATGCTTTACGTCCATGGGAACCTAATTTCTAAACCTTGAGCATTAGGAAATCTGGAATTAAAGATGACGACGAATACTGAAATTTTTGGTTTATTTTGGGATGTGGTTTGGCTTGGAGTCTGGGAACCTGAAATCTTTGCATACATCACGTGTGAGATGATATTCAATTATAGAATTTTCTTGCATGGCTGTGCAACCACAATTCATATCTTATTTCCCCCTTGATTGGGACATGCCAATTTCCTAATATTGGGATTTCATGAATCGAAGTCCTCACTTTAAATCACTGGATGCATTTGTTCCTATGATTTGAAATGTATAAAATATCTCTATGTTCTAAGACCTGACATGCAAATCCCTTTTTATGTTTAGCCTCTATGAAATCATGTTTGTATGATGTTGAAGATATTTTTGCTTACTGGAATCGAGATGTTTCCAGGTCTGATACAGTTGTTGGGGTTTTACAGATATACGATACTGGATCACTTGAAGGCATATATGGGTCATTTCAAATTGACAATGTCCAAATTTATGGAGGGTTCATTCTTCATCTCAGTTCTTTTAGTGGAAATGATGGCAAACTCTGTGTGGGTGATAAAATAATTTGCAAGGTAACATGCTTTTATACGTGACATAGAGTTTGCAAACATGAATATGTTTGTTCATCTGCATATTTCTTCTGTTCTTTTATGACTACAATCAGTTCTCTAATAACTTGAGCAGGTTGACTATGATAGGCGCAAACTCATTGCTCCCAACCATACATGTACACACATGTTAAATTTTGCTCTCAGGGTAATGTACTTCGATGAAATTGTTAAGTGTTATGAGCTTCCAATCTAGTTTTTTTTTTCTTTTGGATCAATTTTTGCAGTTGAATTCCTGAATACTTTGTTACATGAATGCAGGAAGTGCTTGGTGATCATGTTGACCAGAAGGGATCCATTGTCCTTCCTGAAAAATTGAGATTTGATTTTTCTCATGGTAAGTTTATCTTTCGTTTTGTTATGCATAGAAAAGCATTTCTAAATTCCCCTAACATGTGAACAGGGAAACCTGTAAAGCCTGAAGAGCTGAAAAAAATTGAATCCATTGTGAACAAGCAAATTAAAGATGAAATAGATGTATTTGCGAAGGAGGTAACCCTGGCGGACGCAAAGTGTATAAATGGCTTACGAGCTGTTTTTGGAGAAGTAAGCTGCTTTTATTCTGTCCTATTTTCTATTGTAGCTGATGTAGATACTTAAACAACTAGCAATGCACCACGTGCACGTGAATAATTTTCTTACACAAATAATAATAAAAATATATTAGGTATATATGTATCTGAATTAAATATCATTTCAAATTTACGAAACTTAATTTTTTATTGCTTATATTCTATTATTCGATTATGAAAATTTTGTATGTACTTAAAATTCTTTGTTCTAATTATAAAAAAAAAGATAAAAAAAATAGTTAAAGTTTAATTTTTTTAGAATTTTGTGATTGAAATTGATTTTTTAGTGATTTTTGAGAAATTAAATTTTTTGAAATTCATTTTATTAGGATTCTATTTATAATTCCTTGAATAAAACAAATATAATTGTCAATATACTAATTACATTGGAACCTTATTGTAAATTGTAATTAAGAATTTATTAGGTCAATTGGGATAAGATTTAATGTACTATTTTATAAATTCTAAAAAATTCAAGTTTTATATAAAAATACACTACAATATCTATTTTTACACAAAATCTTAGTACAATTTAAAAATTTTATTGTGACCAAAAAATTTTATTGATGTAACATAAATTAATTTTTAAAAATATATATATACGATTATTTTTTATCTTAGAAATGCAAGAGTTAAATTTTTCGAAGAAAAATAAAAATACATATATGTAGGCATAATGTTATCTTTATATTGAGATGTATAATATTAGATTGATGGAATTTTTGAAAATTTTTTGAACACTTTATTGAAGGTGTAATAATACTTATTTTTTTAAGTGTAATATAATCAATTAAAAAGTTTTATAAAAACTGATTAAATAATTAAAAGAGATGTTATAGATAATTTGGAGATTTAAAGATATAAGGATATAATAGTAATTTAAATATTTAATTGTGAAATGATAGAGTCATCTTTGTAATCCTTTATAAGGATAAAATAGAGATTCAAATTTTTTTTATCTTAAGGTACTTTTATTAGTCACTAGTAACTAATAATACACCATGTGCGTTACACGTGAATAATTTTCGTATATAAAATATTAGTAAAAATTTTTAGGTATATGTGTACCTAAATTAAATATTATCTTAAATTTACAAAAATAATGATTTTATCGCTCGTATTATACTATAAAATTTGAAAAATTTTGTTTGTTCCCAACGACTTGTTATTCTAACTATAAGAAAAAAAGATAAAGATAATTTATTTTGAAATTCATTTGATTAGATTTCAACATAAAATTTATTGAATAAAATAACAATAATTGTCAATATTCCAATCTATGTTTATTTTTGAGGTAACATAGTCAATTAAAAAGTTTCATAGATATTAATATTTATATATAGAGAATAGAAAATTAAAAGAGATGTTAAGGGTAATTTGAAAATTTGAACACATAAGGATATGATGGTAATTTAGCTATTTAGCTATTTAGCTATGAAAGGATAATGTGGTATTTAAAATTTTTTACAAGGGTAATATAATGAATCAATTTATTTTTTTTAATGATAAGATACTTTTATTAGTAGTATAGATATAGATAGATAGATATAGATATAAATAAATATAGATATAGATATGTAAACTTTTATTGTTTTTTTTGTATACAAGTGCATTGCACGTTGATCATTTTCAATATCAAATATATTATTGCTATAAAAATTATTAAAAACACTTTAACAAATCAAAAAGAAAATTTTTAAAATGTTAGTGCAAACCTGGCTCCAAGTAAACATAAATCATATAAAAAGAGCAGCAACCTGCAACCAGATAAAAATTGTTAGTATGAGAGAATGAGAGGAATAGATTGGTATTACTTAATTTCTGATTGAAATTCATGAGATTGAATATTTGGCTATTAGTTGTCCATGTAGCCCTAAAATGGAAGATGAAATGGTTCAAATTTTATTTGATTAATTGATATATTTATTGCCAAGAATTTGTACCGTCTTCAAAGCTACACATCAATTCATATTAGATAAATGATAAAATGAACTTTATGGTGGTTATCGATAGCATAATAGTTGTATCAATGATAATCTATTATTTTTCATAGAGTAAAGATGATTAATGGATTTATTGTAAACAAAAAAGTTTATGAGAAGTAAATGAAAGAGAGATAGAGTCATTAACTCAGGAAATTAAAAAAAATTATAATACATGGAACAATAATTATTGTGAAAATGAAATTATATGAAGAGTCATTTGAATAAAAAAAATTGAATATATAATTAATATTAGGTAATTAGAAAATAAAAAAAAAGGGTAATACATGGAACAATAAGTATATAAAGAGTCATTTGAATATATAATTAATATTAGGTAATTAAATAAATAAGGATATAGGTGCCTTTAATATTTTTTATAGAGACATAATAGGCAATCAAAAAATTATCATTTAACTTCCTTTTATTGGTAGTAATGTATTATAGATATAAATATAGATTATTATTATTTGAGACTGTTCTTGGTTGCAGGCCTTCTTCAATATTGCTTTTCTATTTTGATATAGGTCTATCCTGACCCAGTTAGGGTTGTTGCAATTGGTCGGAAAGTGGAAGATCTCCTTTCTGATCCCCAAAGTGAAGAGTGGTTATCCATTTCTGCAGAGCTCTGTGGAGGTACATGTCTTTCTTCTAACTCAGTACGTATTGGATCTTTTCCATCAAAATCATTATTATGTTGATTCAATCAATGTATATTATTTAGATTTAGATTTAATAAAACTTTATAGGCACTCATATATCAAATACACGAGAGGCTAAGGCATTCGCTCTTTTATCTGAGGAGGGAATTGCCAAGGGAATCCGTAGAGTTACTGCTGTTACATTGGATTATGCTTTTAAGGCCATGGAATTGGCATCATCACTTGAACAGGAAGTAAATGAAGCTTCCAAAACAGAAGGAAGCTTGTTGGAACAGGTATTTACTTAGGTATTTACTTATTTATACCATGTTGTTATACTATATTACTCTAAATTAACTAATATTTTAAAATGAATATTTGTTTACTCAGTTAAAAAAAACGATTACACTTAACTACTAAGTATCAGTTTGTTTTTTCTGTTTTTATAGGGTATGTGGCATACCGATACCAGTTGCAATAATGTGTGGTATATCCATTTATTTTTTGTATTTTCTTTTAGAAAATGAGGTGGCCTGCTTTCCTGACCTTTACTGCCTTTTCATTTTGCACTGACGTATTTCTGAATAGTATTTGTCTTGCTGATATTTTCCTTTTTTCTTCTTGTCTGGGCCAGTCTCTGAGTTATCCTTACACATAGTAAAACAATATCCCTTTTCCCCTTTCTGGTTATTTAGAATGTGTTTACACAGGCTGATTGTGTTAGATATATTTTGCCACCCCCAAAAAAGGGAAAAAAAAACTCAAAATACCTTCAATGCCTTCTTTTGTCACTGTTTTCAACTCTCTTTTCTCTTTAACCTGTGCAATTTCTGCTTTATATTGTTGGTATTTTGCCTCTTTCTTTTTCTCAAAGCCAAACTTTACACTTTCTTCAGTGTGGAATTGTATCAATTTGCTTTAACTCAATGTTGAATATGTCATTTAGTGATATTATTATTGCTTCTTATGGAGTGCAGAAGAGAATCCGTATGACTATCTATTGATTTGTGAGTAGCAATTGAGGAAAGCAAATGAAGAGAAAAACAAAAAAAAAGGGGGGGTGGTTGGATTCATTGACAGATTTGTTCTGGATTCAACCAAGAAAGAGAGCAGTAAGAAAGATACTCCATATGTCCCATAAGATGATTCCCTTTTTGGGACATAAAGTATGGGCACATGCAATGTAAACAATTCGAAGTTATCTTGCAAAAGTTAAACAATTCATTATACTTTGTAGAGAAGCTTGTCATACTCATTTCAAATAGGATAGTTTTGAAGTTAAAGAATTCGTAAGTTAGACTTGTCAAATTGGAGTATTTTTTCAGGACATCCCAAGTACAAAGATGGACTTTTAATTTGTGGCTGATGGATTGGAATGGATTGACTTTTACCTCGGTAAAGCCATCAAAATAATGAATCCCTCCTCTAACAAAACACAGATTTAAAATGTCATTAAGTTAACCAAGCTGCAAGAGTTTTGTCATCGCTCAGTTTAAAAATGTAAGGTAAAAATAAACCACTAGCCCGATTACATGAGATATAGGTCACATGATACAAGCAATAAGAAAACTTTGGCCTTGGCTTCCAATTTGTGTGCCAGAAAATATTCTTAATTGAATTTCTGAGCTTCCGAACATATCAGAACATCCCTTCCTTAGTCAAGCCCCTGGAAGGCATCTTGTAACTATGACTAAAATTAGTTTCTTCATCCTGTGTATTAATTGAATAAATTCTTTATTTGTGAGAGGTAGTCACTATTTAGCTGGAATTTTGTGACACTAGCTATTTTGTGAATCGTAGTCACCTTCACGCCTTCTGTTGAAATTATACTTGTCAAAAAAAAAAAAAAAAGAAGGTCTGATAGTACCTGCTTTTATGGTGCCGTGTGCCAACTTTGAACTAGTGGTTCCAAACCAGCAGCCATCCCTTAGTGAGTAGCTGTTTTGCCAATTAACTAATAGCATATCCTGCTCATGAGCTTTTGAACTTATTTGTTTTCTTTCTGCGTGAAGCATATTTTTGCAGCATGAGCAATTATAACATTATTATTCCCATTTTGATACGTACTGTAGTAGAATGAGGCTTTGAAACTATTCTCACGTCTGGAAGGGGCTATTAAGAACATAGGGAATATGCTTTATGCCAGGGTTATGAAGTGTGTCGATATTAGAATCTTAAGCTGCAAATATTTTGGTGAAACTATTCTTACGTCCGGAAGGGGCTATTAAGAACATAGGAAATATGCTTTATGCCAGAGTTATGAAATGTGCCGATATTAGAATCTTAAGCTGCAAATATTTTGGTTGCATAAGTCTTCAATACTTCGCTTGCCTGAATTCAGGGATCACCTAGTTTTTCTTCTTATTCTTCTAATTTGAATTGTGATTCATTCATGTACCTGACATTTTCCCTTCCGAATTTCTAGAATGTAAGCTCTTTAAATGGTCGTGTGGAATCGCTGCCTATTCCAACTGCCAAAAAGGCTGAACTGAAGCTCAAACTTTCTGTACTTCAGGTATTTCATCTATCCTGAACCATGAATTTTCTCATTTCCTTTTTGTCACCACCAATATGCTTATGTCTATGAATAAAAGGTGATACTAAACCGCTGCATGTCCTTAGAATCAAGTGATGAAATCGAAAAAAAAGATTGCTGAAGAGAATATACAGAAAGCCATCAAAGTTGTCGGTGAGATGGCAGAAATTGCTGCTTCTGATGGAAAGGCCTTCTGCATCTCACATGTACAGGTTGGTTCAGATACTGCTGCAATCCGCGAAGCAGTAGTTAAAATCATGGAGCAGAAGGTGATTAGCATCTTCTTACTTTCTAGCTGACCTAACTTGTGGTGCTACGATATTTTAAGCATCACCCGCCTTACATATGGTGAATTTTCCCTGGATGAACAGGAGTTGGCTATTATGGTTTTCAGCACGGATGAAACTGCAAACAAGGCTTTGGTCTGTGCTGGGGTACCGGAGAAAGGTGATAAGAAAAAGCAGTTAAAGGTGTTGGAGTGGTTAACGGAAGCTTTGAAACCTTTGAAAGGGAAGGGTGGAGGAGGTAAAGGCGGTCTTGCTCAGGGCCAGGTTAGCAGTTCCTCATGGTCATCCACTTTTCATCCAGCATGACTACTTGTGCATAAAAAACTTGGAAATGAGCATTATTACCTCAGTATGCATTTCATTAGAGAAGTTGGCCTGCTTGTAATTGTTTGGAGATTAAGGATCCATTAATTATCTTCATACTAAAATAATGTTTTACTAAGTTGTATTATTGGAATTAAGAAGTGAAAAACAAGTAGATACACATCTGTTTTGATGATGTGCACGCAGACGTAGGTAGAGGCCTATTTTGTGATACCTTTTGACTAATGTTGCAACTGGCATCTGTTATATTTGAGATTGTATCATTCAATCACTGAGGTGGTTTCTTCCCATTTATTCCTTTTCAGGGAACTGATATATCGCTTGTAGAGGAGGCGATGGAAGTAGCAACATCATTTGCAGCAATGAAATTGAGGTGATAAAGAGTAGTACCCTGATGTTTCACGGCAAAAAGCATTTTGTTGAGACTCACAGCTGACACTTCTCGATATATACCATGTCGGTATATCTGACATAAAAGGAAATGGTTACATTTAACAACAAAAAAAAAAAATTATATTGAGCTTTTGAGGATGTGGTGTTATTTATTTTTTTTTTTTAAATTGAACACCAATTGAGATACTATTACAAGGAAGGAAGGAGAAGAGGTTCAGGTTAAATGCCTTGTTTGGTTATTAGCTTTTCTTGGTGTCTTACGATTTCTTTTGCTGCTCTGAAACATTTCTAGGGTATGGTTATTTTGATTCACCATTGTGGGTATCATCAACCTGGGGAACAGAAACATTACCTTGGGATTTGGCTTCGGTTGGAAGGATGAGATTCAAAACCCCCCCCAACATAACCCAAGTTGATTTATGCCCAAACATAGTTTCTTAAATACTTTGGTAAAATACCTTTTTACTTTTTAAAGTATGTGTGTAGTGTCTATTTAGTTTCCATCTTTCAATTGTGTCTATTTTATCCCTAAGTTTCTAATTTGTATATACGTAGTCTAATCTCAAATGTCTGTCAAAAAATTGTTAACGGCTTTGCACACGTGGTGCTAATCACAGGGGATCAAATAGATATAAATTAGGCACTTTAGAGACTAAATGTACACAAATTAGAAACCATGTATTTGGCGCATGATCAGAATTGTCAAAAATTTGTTGACGGTGTTTGGGATTAGACCATTTAAATACAAATTAGAAATTTTAAGGATCAAATAGATACAATTGAAAGATTGGGGAGGAAATAAACACTAAATGCATACTTTGAGGATCAAAAATATATTTTACCCTAAATACTTTCTTAGGAATAGCTAAGATTCACGTAATCTAAAGCCTAACATAATCCACCACCAGCAAGAAAGAAGGCTCAAGGATAAACATGTATTAATAAACCGTCAGAAGTTCATCAAAATAATAGATCCAGATTTTTTTTTATTTGAAATGAATTCTATACCATTAAATAAAATTAAATGAATATTAAATTTATTTTAACCATTGGTATCTTTTTAAACATGTGCAATTCAAATTTCTCCATAAATTTTTGTTGTATTTGTTTTTGGTCTAAGTAATTGTTTTGTTTATTTTTCGATCAGCATTTTTCAGCACGTAAAATAATAGGTAATGCATCATTCTGTCTAAGGACATAAACTCACGTAGTATATCTATACACTATAGACAAGATTTTTGGTTTCGAAACGATTGAAATAGGTGAACTATTTTCATTTTTTAAAGAGATCAAAACGAATTAGTAATAGAATCGAAATTCTAATATTTTGAGACGTTTCATAATATTTCGACGCATTTAAACAATTGTTTCAAAATTTTTCAAGGTGTTTCAAGATATTTTGGTATATTTTAACCACTATTTTAAAAAACTAATTCCCAAATTTTTATTAATTTCCATCCTATTTTCGAAACGGGTCAAAATATTTCTATTTTTCAACTGATTGAAACAATACACCGAAATAAAATTTTGATGATTAACATAATAAAATAGGGAATTCATTTTCGTCTTTTACTGCACAATAATACTAATTTTAATATGTTTTGGGAGAATTGTTAAGGCAAGTAACACTTGTCGGGAGAGTTGTTTGATCACGTTGGAGTGTTGACCAATAATTTTGACATATTTTTATTGAAATCCAATAAATATCCTCTGAATATTGTAATGTCAATACTAATCATCGATATAATTTATCATCAACTAGTTGGTGCACGTGCCAACTATTTTGACTTTTTTAAAAAAAAAAATATATAAATTGGATTTTTTTTTATATGGAGATGATTTTACATGATAATTATTGAATTTTATGGGGTTTACTGGTACACTTATTTCTTTGTTAGTGAACGATTATACAAAGTAGCACTACTAACTTGGGGGTAACTGTTATCTTCAAGATTTTTCTCGTATTTTAGGTTATATATGAACTAAATTGCATAAGGTTAAAAAAAAAAATGAATTGCATTGCATTGCATTTAAAAACTGTAATATTTAACTTCAGTAAGTGATTAATAGTTTGATGACTAATGATTTATTGGACTAATAATAAGTTATTATAATAGGTTACTATTGTCTTTTTATCTTTCTAAGAATAGTATTATTAATTAAATTTTTTCGACAAACATTGACATTCGAAAATAGTATATAGATTATTTTAGCGAATTTGAATATGTATTACGTACCTACAAACATATATAAAGATAAGATGTACTTTGGTGATTATTTAATAAAATTGAAGAGAAATCCATGTGTTAAATGTTAAAATCGACTCTAATCAACTTATTCGGATTATAACGGATATCTATGTTAACGGATTCATATATGCGTTGTGAAAAATAAAATTCGTTGGATAATTGAAGTGAATTCGGATCACATTTTTCAAATCGGATTTGTATCGAAGTTATAGTATTTGACAAGAAGATAATCAAAAATCAAACAATGAAGTTATTAGTTGAATTAATGCAACTAATAAAAAAAATAAAAAACTCTTCTAAAAAGGATAAAGTAGACAATATATAATTTTTTAAGGATAAATAAGAAAATAAAAAAAATTCTCTTAAGCCACTTTAAAAAAGATAAAGTAGACATTATAGAATTATTGAAGGATAAATAAGGAAAATAATTTTTTTTCATTTAAGCCACTTTTATTAGTACTATAGATATAGATATAGATATTGAGTCATTTATCATTTTTAATTATTAATTATAATAGTTAATAGAGTTTATTAAATTTTCAATTTAAGATTAAAAGGATATTATTTTTTGAATATATGATAATATTAAAATTATGTTTAATTATTATTGAGACTAGCTTGTGTAGCTAGAGAGTTAATTTATAAAATTAGAAATGGTATTATAAGTTGGGATTATATGATCAACTCATTTACGTTACAATTTGTCTTTTGACTTTTTTTTTTCTGGGTAATAGTGTCCTTAAAATTGTAATCTGATTGAAGAAGGGTATTTTTGAAAAGATATTATCTATAGTACCAAAAAAAAATATGTCGTACCATATTTATTATTTTTGTCAGTCTTTTTACTACTGTTATGAATGTTTTTTTCCATTGTTGTATTGTAATATCGAAGAAAAGTGATAAAAATAGTAAATAATTTTTTTGTAATAATTTTTTTTGCACCTTAATTAAATATTAAATAATTGACACAGTAGCTTTAAAAATGCCCAAAAGAGTGACAATTTTTTTGTTATAAAAATACCTACTAAAATTATAAATTTTAGAGATGCGAAGCCGAATTTTTTTATTAAATACCATAGTCAAAGTCCTTTGTTTTTTGGTCTTATGTCATCATTTTTTTTCCAACATGGCTTATGTCATTATTAATGGATAAGATTCTTAAGGCCTTTCATTTTAAGGGAGTTTTGACTGTGATAAGATTCAAATGTCAAGGGTTCCCGTGTCATTTTCGAATAAATAGTAAGTGTTTGCATAATTTATGTCAAATATAGGAGCTCGATGATAGATAAATTTCCCCTTGTTTTTTTCTTTTCCCATAAAAAGTTGTAATTTATCCTACAAAGCGTATAATTTTTGGTACAATATCTCTTTTTACACCGTAATATTACCAAACACTTAGTTTTCGTCTGATAGACATATCTAATTTATCATTTTTTTTTGTTTTGATGCATACATGATTAGTCTACATCCGCATACTTGAGCTTTACCTATACCTATAGTCACTTTAATTGTAATATTTTTATTGACCAATGCTACATAGACTTAAAACCTAGACTTGATAATCTCAACCATTGATTTCATTGTGGGTCCCAGCATTTATTAGGATTCACTATTTATTCAATGGTTGAGATTATCAAGTCTAATTTTTATGTCCATCTAGCATTACTCATTTTTATTTTATACTCTTGAAAGAAAATCACCTTATATCTAAAGATCGTATTTATAATGTGATACGACATAATGTATTCAAATACTTTAAAATTTATATTGATTTAGTCTTCACTATTTCATAAAAATGGATTCTAAGTAGTGTGCCTCGCATGCGATGCAACCGAATGTGGTCTACTCTTTCCTCGATATATTTTAAGGTCCATCCAAAGAAAGGAATTTTGTTTTTTTTTTTTTAAATATTGCCAATATATTGACATAAAATCATAATTTAACTGCTCATTGTGCCTGAGAATTTGTTTAGTAATAGCATGGTGAAGTCAATAATTTCCCAACATTACGAAAGGCGAGCTATAAGTTGTGTCAGGTAGGACAGTCATGGACGAAACCAGGATTTTATCACGAAGAGGGTCATTAGACTCAATTAAAAAAGCGCAATGTTTAAAATTGTATTAAATGGGATCACTCAACCACTCAATATTAATGTCACACTTTAATTGTATAAAAACCTACAAAAAAAAATTAACTTTATATGATAAGTTTAGGTCATGTAATTCAAAAATTAATGATACTTATTATGTGATGGTTAATTTGAGAAAATAACACGGTTTTGTTTTGTTTATTTATTTATTTTTACTTAAATAAAAAGCGCATTCATCTAAGTATTCTTTTTCGTTGATAAGAAAAGCATTCGTCTTCCATTTTATTATCAAGGTTATGTCAATAAAGTGTTATAAATATATTAAAAAAATATGTTTACTATATACAGGATTTCAAATACTTAAAGGGGAATAGGTAATTTGAAAAAACTGAGGGGCATGAGACCAACTTGGTCTCCATATAGTTCCGTCCCTGTAATAAACGAGAATATTAGATGAGACCCTAATAATAATATGTAGCATAATGCTATAGACAATATTATCTGACTATCAAAGTTCTAAAATATATTTATTTAGAAATAATTTTAAGTTTAATAGAGCAGTGAAAACTAAGAGTTGGATAAAATTTCAATCAAGTTAGATCTCATTGTCCTCAAAGAGTTATTGAACAAAAATGTCTAAGACCCATGCATTTATTTCTATTATGTCTTTCACGAACATGTAATTTGCATGTTTTCCCATTTTCAAAGCCTTTAAATATTGAGTTTTAATTAAAATTTATTATATAAAACTCTATTAATCGAAGATATATCATATTTTTTAAATATCATATCAAAATTTACTAAGGCAAAGAAACTCCAGTTAAAATTAGGGCCTAAAAGTTTTTTTAACAATCTTAATCTGTTAATGTTGGAACTTGAATTTTAGTTTTTATTTGGGGGTTTTAGGCAGCCAGGTTGGTGGGTTACCCCTAAGGGCTAAGGCAAACACTAGAGTCGTGTCAAAATTAGCTCAATCCCTAGTCAATGCATTTGTAATTGTGTCTAACGTGTTCTTGTTTGTTTAACTGATTTTGATAGTTTAGTTTATTTTAGTCTAATGGATCTATTTACGCAAACTTGTTACGACTAAATCTAATTTTGTAATATTTTTTGTCCATCTCGCAATCATATATCCAAAATTGTTCATTTTGTTTTGTGAAAAACAATGGTTTTTTTTCGTCCTGGTGTTGAAGTCCCAATTTTCGTTGGTATTATAAAATTTTCCAACCAAAGAAGAACGAATAAAAAGAAGATAGACATGAAAAATGAGTGTATATAAATGAGTTTAGACATTTTTTATTTTAATATTTGAAAAAATAGATAAAAAAAGTGTCTTCCCATGGGGGGAGTCTCAATTCAAGATTGAGAGAGATCTTATCTTTAGATACTTGGGATAAATTCGTGCTCTGAATCTGAATTACAAAAGGGAAAATGTTAAAGGCAACTCGTCTGATTCAGATAGAATCAAGCATACGAGTTGATCATAGAATCAAAAATAATGAGCAAATATGAAATATGAAATTGCATTTCCAACGCATTTGTTTTTTATTTGGGTTTTTCGGGGGAGGGGAGGGGATGAGGGGTTTTTAGTTAGGGCTATTTAAATGATTCGGATGGCTCAGGCTCGACTCAGTTTTAGCTCGGTTTGAACTTGTTCATATTATAAATTGAATAGAATCTGAATAAATTTGGATCTTTTAGTATTCGAGTCGAGCCTAAACTATTCGTAAGGGGGCTCATTTTTTTCTACTTGTACATAATATACATATAAATTATTACAAATTTTAAGCTTATTTCAGTAAAATTAGCAAAAAAAATTAAGGTTGTATATTTTTGTTATGAAATTTAGTTTTGTGTGTATTTTTGTGAAGTTTTTTGATTGAGTATTTAAAATTTATAGATTTGAAGTTTTTTTGAGAGATGTATTTTTAATTTGAATAGAACTTGAACAATATTTTAAGTTTAATAAGTGAGAATGAGCCGAGTTTGAATATAGCCAAGACTCAAATAATTTGAAGACTTATACACTCGATTAACACACTTTCCTCTTGTGGGTGGGGAGTGGGTGCGTGGGTGTTTTAACGGTTAAAGCAAGGCTCCCCAGTTGAAAAGTGAAAAACAGAGCTGACCAGATGAGTACTATGAAAACTGAAACAGCTGTAACAAAATCCCAAACAAACAAACAGACCCTCTGACCGGCTGTAACCTTACAACAACAATAATAAGAAACAGTATACGCAACAAAGTCAAATAAGGGGACGCCAGAGCCAAAGCCTTTTGGCAGCCCTTCTTGCCTTGCCTGCACATCCAATCCAAGACCCTGTTTTTACCCAACAAAACTATACCCTGTCTCATACTTCATAAGTAATCCAAACCCATCAACAATTTCTTCTTCAATACTTGTTTCTTGTTCTCTCTGTCCATACGATAGTCTTTTTTTTTTTTGGGGTCTATTTATATATTTTCTAGTAGGAATTAGTCAGCGGCGTAGTCAATTCATAGACACCTAATTTTTCTTGTATTTTCTTGGAAGATAAGGAGGAGATTGGTAGATCGGTAAGTGAAACTTTTCAGATACCCATCTGGTGATTTTCTGTTAATTTCTTTTTCCTTGTATGTTTTTGATGGTGGGTATTTTTGTTTGATGATCGATTTTGTTTTTGATTCTACAGGTTGTAAAATTATAGGTTTTGGGAACAGAGGTAGATGCTGATTTGTAGAGGAAGGAGATAAGGTGGGGTGAATTTAAATGGATAACTTTTGCTGCTTCAATTCTGTCTATTCTCAGGTGAGGTTTGTTCTAATTCTTTTGTTCTTTATTTGACTTTTATATTTTGTTTTCTGCAATTGTTTGACTTGGTCCCAAAATTCTGATGATCCAGTGGATGTTGATCTGATAAATATATTTATATGCTACTTTGAGTAGTGGAGAAAGATTTGAATTTGGGATCTTTTTAATTTTTTGATCTTCAACCAGGGTTTAGTTGATTCTGATAGGACATAGATAAACTATAATTGTTTATATTTGTATAATTGTGTGCCTAGTCCTTCCCATAGTAAATTATGTTTGTTCTTCTGTTGGTATGCTTTATTTCTTTTTGTAGCTGGTGTTTTGAGTTGTGATATCATGATGTTGAATGTTCCAAAGGAGTTTCTGATCTCCGATTATTAGTTTTGAAGTTTAGATTAAATAGCCGGGATGTTGGGTGGAGGGGATTTGTTGGTTATATTCCAAAGGAATATCAATCATAGTAAATCCTACTTTTATTTATGGTACAATTTCTGGCCAGCATAATATTCGTCGTTTGAGGGTTTATGGAAGGCGTATTTCTGCAAAATATAATCATCTATTTTCTTTTGGGGAGGGGTGAGTGTTTTCAGATGCTTTTAAATTATGTGATGATTTTCCGTAAATGAGTAATTGAACTTGATTATGGTTATACAGGACTAATCTTCTAATTAAAATTCTTCTTGCACTTTAGCTTGCAGGAGGGAGTTCTTCATCTGTATATGGCAAGGGAAGAAGCCATCGGGGGCCTGTCAAGTATGGATTCAGCCTAGTAAAAGGGAAAGCAAATCATCCAATGGAGGATTACCATGTTGCTAAATTTGTTCAGCAACAAGGGAATGAGCTTGGGCTTTTTGCAATTTATGACGGGCATCTAGGAGATAATGTGCCTGCTTATCTACAAAAGCATTTGTTTCCCAATATCCTAAAAGAGGTGGGTCGTTTTATTTGAAATGAGGCATTATTTGTTGGGGACACTTTCTTCCTGGCACTTGAACCTTATGAAATCATAATGATCTCATTCTTTTTTGCATTGAGTTTGGTATATTAATTACTTTGAGGTGAGTATAGATTGAGGGGATTAATTTCAATGTGCAAGGAAATAAGGTGGTTTCATTCTTTGAGTTACATATGTTGTGACATTTTTGATTAAAATATAAAAGGATAGATGTGATCTCAATTGCTATTCAAAATAATTTGGAAATGAAAAATACTTACCATACTTAGTTTAATCTATCCAGAGGGATTTTTGGACTGAGACACACCGGTCAATAGCTAAAGCATATGAAAGAACAGATCAGGCCATTCTTTCACACAGTCCTGACTTGGGAAGAGGTGGGTCCACTGCCGTCACCGCAATTCTCATAAATGGTCAAAAGCTATGGGTAGCCAATGTTGGAGATTCACGGGCAGTTCTTTCAAAGAGAGGGCAGGCGATACAGATGTCCATTGATCATGAGCCCAACACTGAGCGAGGTAGCATCGAAAACAGAGGTGGCTTTGTCTCAAACATGCCAGGTGCTGCGACATAACCTATGGTTTATTATTAATATCAATTATTGGGAAAATTGATTTATATATGAGAATTCTATTCCTAGCTCCTTGGGAATTAGTCTTATCAGGATCTATGTCAGTCTTATTTTTTTTTGAACACTATCTCAAACTAATATAGGAGATACCATCGCAGTCATGATGTTGTATGCCTTAATTTAGTGAATTGCAGGAATTGCTGAAGGAAGTATGAGCCTCCAGCATATGTGAAAGCAAAAGAGGAAACTAAATGTTTGTTCATAGCCTAGTAAAACTGATGATGTCCTTCTTTTTCAATAAGAGAAGGAAGGTGATCCACCACTTTTGTTTATTCTTCTTAGTTTTTATTTTAACGGCCCCCTTCTTTCTTTCTTGCCAATCCACTCGAAAAACAAGGCAAAAACATAATTACATAGTTACAGTCCCGGCCATCTTATAAACTAGAGTACCAATATTAGAAGTGTCTGAAACTACATTTTGAAAGGTATTTTGTCAATGAGATGGTAAAACATTTATAGGATTTCATTGAATGGATGAGAAAGAAGCAGAATAGAAGCAAGGTTATGATTGAGGGGATACCATTCAAGAACATTGTTTAGGAAAATGAAAATAGAAATGAGAAAAAAAATATGCTGGTTGCTTATACATACAATGCTGACATGCTCAATGATGTTACGAAAAGTCGGTCTATCATGAAAAATAACCTTGTGGAGCCTTCCAGCTTGATTTGTCCTATTGATTAGTTTTTAAGCTAGGCCTTTGAAGGCAAGTATTTTCAGAGACATGTGTAGAGAGGAAGTTTTTGGGAGAGGGTGGTGGATGGGAAACATGGGTTCAAATAGGAAGGGTGGACATCTACGGAGGTGAAGAGCACATACTGAGTAATTTTGGGAGAAGGGTATCATGAAATGGCGAGGAGAAAGTGTTAAGCACATTTTATATGAGCTCAGAAATTGGCACTGCTCAGGTTTTGCTGTTTTCGGTAGTGTGAGTTATTTGCAGTCAATGATGAAGCTATAAATTGGATTGAGTGTTTCAGATGGCAAATAGCTTGGTGCTTGTATATGGGATTTTTATCAGAGCAGGGAAGATGAGATGGAATGGAAGGTATCCAAGAATGGAAGGTTCTCAGTTAAGTGGTTTTTTGGGGCTGAAAATGAACCGAGCTAAAGCTTGACAAGATTAGATAGAGGTCAAGCTTGGCTTGCTCTCGTGATGAGCCTGGCTATTGTTTGAAGTTGGCCTGCCACTATATGGTCAAGCTTGACAGTAGCTTGTTTGGCTTGTTTGAAGCACCCAAACCTTTCCAAAAAGTTGTAGATCTGACAGGTACTCCCTTCGGATAAGCCTCATAGTACCAGGAGTTAAAATTTAAATATTCATTAATGGTTCAATAACCGTTAGGTGCAAAGAAAAGAAGTTAGAAAAACCATTATGAATATCTAGAGACTAGAAAGAATACTGGAACCGAACAAGGATAGGAGAGATGCTGGAGAAGTGGACTCATTTTATCTTTCTTTCCGCTCCTCCTACCATGACAGCATCAACTTTGAGTTTTGTGAATCAAATGTTGTGTTAAAGCAATATCAAAAGTTGAAACTGTATCAATGCTTTTTGAAGAAAACAGTACTTATGTTAAATATTTGTACAAATTTTCTCTTTGCAAACTTTACATGAAATCATATCTGTACTGCACAAGATTTCTAAGATTGGGATCATAGGGCTAGATCTAGAATCATAAGATCCTAGAAACCGAAAAATAAGACTAAAAATCATTACAATACAGAATTTATAAAATCAGAAATACACCAAACCAAGTATATTCCCAAAATGTAGAAATGTCAACGGAATCATATAGAACTTAAGAGTTTCATCAGAACTTGAGAAGCTAGAATTGAAGAGGGTTTAAAATTAAAGGTGGGTTATTAATATTGTTGGATTTGTGAAGAGTAATAGGAGAATTTGAGTGTTTTAATCTTGAATTAAGAGCGAGAGGGAGATAAAGGAGAGACTGTGAAAGTCGAGAGACTATTGAACAAACAACGTTAACTGTTCGATATCCAACAAAAGAAACAGAGAAGAATGAAAATGGAAGACATACCTTGTTGTAATCACTCATTGAGAACGAAGAAATCAAATCTAACCATTGTTTTAAACTTCTTAAAAACAGAGAGAAACAAATGTTGAGGGCTTTCTTTGACAAAGAGAGCTTTCTGTAGGTTTTCTCACCGTTGAAATCCCCTTGTAGACTGGTAAGTGTATAGGATAATCTCATAAGATGTGTCTTCAAGTATTAAAGCAAAAAATATGGATTAAGTCAGCTCAATAACTAAAGGCGGCTAACAAATAATCTCAATAACTTGGATCAATGCAGTTGGGGTCAGGATCCTATAATCTTACACAATCTGGATCTCGATCTATTAAGCTTCTACGCGCAGTGATTTTCAAAAAACTGATAGATTTGCCTGTACTGGATCATAGGATCTTCTGATCTGGATCGGATTTTGATGGTGATGGTACGGCACTGTTGGTATAGCTGGAGTTGATTGTCCAATTTTTGTCTATTCAAGTTACGAAACTATTTCCGTTGCATCTTTTATCAGGAGATGTTGCGAGAGTGAATGGACAATTGGCTGTTTCTCGTGCTTTTGGAGACAAGAACCTGAAATCACACCTAAGCTCTGATCCTGATATAACAGATGCTGATATTGATGATGATACAGACTTTATTATCCTTGCGAGCGATGGTTTATGGAAGGTACTCTCACACTTTTCTTCCTCTCCCCCCACACCCACAAAACAACCATCACCACCACAACAACAAAAAAAAAAAAATCCAACCCAACAAAAGGAGTGTGGGGTTCCTTTTCTCTGCCAACCATCTTTTTTTAATGTTGAACTCTTATTTCTTGTTTTGCTTCCTCTTCTCTCAAAACATTTTTCCTTCATGGACAACTTTTGTAGCTTGTTTTGCTTGCGAATAATCCAGGTCATGTCTAATCAAGAAGCAGTTGACATTGCAAAGAAGATCAAGGACCCGCAAAAGGCAGCCAAGCAACTTGTTGTTGAGGCACTGCATAGAGAAAGTAAAGATGATATCTCTTGCATCGTTGTTAGATTCAAGGGGTAAACACAGACAATCATCCCTGCAATGCAGTATATGTACACTGGGGGTTACCGTTGCATGAATGGGATTTGATAGACTACAGCAGTTTCAAAATCTTGATGAATCCAGTGTAAGTACTAAGTTCAATGTGAAACAGGTTACATATGCTGCCCCTTCCCCGTCATCTGTAATATTTGACATCTTTTACTTGGGTTGTGCGGTTTGTTATTGTCGCTTGATTTCTTCAATGTGTAGAATCACACCATTTTTCCTGCAATTTGCATGGTAACTACGACGTTGGGTTGTTTGACAACCATGGTTTCCTGTAATAATTAAATGCATAGTATGGATTTGTTGTGAATGGACTAGGTTTTGTGTTTATATACAGTAGAACATCTTCTGCTTCTTGGCTGAGCATGCTTCAAGCTTTTGTGAACCAGTATCATGGTGCTGGTGGCCCTTAGCTGTTCCTTTCTTTTCTTCATTGTCATGTTTCTTTTTCCCTCTACATAACATCTCAAAGGGTATCAAGTTGACGACTATTCTAGTTTTAATGCCATGGTTGCATCGTTGTGGTATGCCTTTTTTGAACGTTGTTATTGGCAAAAATCATGCAATGAAAAATAGGTTACAATAGGCCTATGATGCCTTTGTAAATTCACTTGTGTGCAATGGATATGGATTTGTACGTGCTTGCTGACCAACAGATTGTAGTGTCTCTGTGTCAAAAATTACAGGGAAATTTAGAAAATTAAGAGCAAGTTCTATTGCAAACCAATATGGAGACCCTTTACATTTGAGAAATTATATGTGAATTCTTTGAATTATGTTTTTTGTTTGGTCAACTGTTGGGGGGTGTTCGGTCCAGTTTATGTGCATCTTAACTCCAGTCCGGTTAAAGACAGATCATCCACACTGGGAGTAGAGTATTCACGAAGGATAAATCTTTTATGACCCGACTTTAAAAGATTGTTAAGATTTAAACTCAAGACGTTTGAGTTTATTATATTTGTTATTGCTTGAGTTACTCTTTTGGGTTTCTTCGAATTATATTTGTTATGAAGTGACCCTTTTCCCCTGAGCAAAACATGAACTTTAGGGGATAAATATATCTTTATTTTTTGGTAAAATGATGTTTGGACAAAGGTTAATTTTTTTTTGGATAGAATTAAGTTTAGAAACATGATTATTTGTTCTTATGAAGGATAAGGTGGTCATTTTGATATTCTAAATATTATTTTTATTGATATGCAAAACTATATAAAAATGACTCTTTGAGTTGGATTAAAATAAGGGGCTTTGCCTTTGATATAATGTAATTAGCAATAAACTCGTGCCTATAAACACTCTACAATATCAAAAATTAAACATTGATCATGTGATATTTATATTTTCTTTAATTATGTAATTTAAAATTAAAGTGAATAGAGACAAAGTAAGAGAGGTAAATGCAAATTAATGAAATTCTAGCGCATTGAGGAGTGTGTAGTAAAGTTGAAATTTTTGAGCAGAAAAAAATTTAGAATGAATTTTATACCATTGGATTAAAATAGATGAAAATTGAGTCAATCTTGACTGTTGTGTTTTTCTAAGTTAAAAATTTAACTTTCTAACTGTAATATTAGATAAATTAGCTCTACGAGTGACTTCATACGAGCTTCTACTACATCCATTTAAACCAAGTTAATGTTGCGTAAATGATAATTGCATAAATTGTTCATTGCATTTAGTTAAGAGCGTGGCTCAACAATTATCATAGAGTAGGATTACTAAACTAGGGTCTTGACATTATTTTTGTTGCTGTGAAATTTGGAGAGAGTTGGATATACACAATCTTATCCCAGCATATGAAGAGATTATTTCTACGATTTGAATCCTTGACGCTCAAGTCACATTGAAACAAACTTACTGCTACACAAAGACCCACCCTCAATTGTATATTGATATATATATTAATTTCAATTTGGAGTCTCATTTGGTTCTCATGTTTTTTTTTTTCAAGTTCGTGTAGATTTTCTAAATTTTTATTGGAATTATACTCTCTCTCATTATATAGACCTATATGAAAGAAAGTTGAAAGTGGATCTTGATTTGGAGGTTTCTAAAATCGAAGAACAATCATTAAAATTTATTGTGTTTTACAAATATGTGTATTTTGCCATTTACATTATTTATAAAATAATTCTTCATGGTAATTTTTTCTTTTGATGCTTTAAATGTTTTTCATGCATAACTTACATGTTAAAAAATAGAACCTAATTAAAAAATATCCATTAAATATTAAATATTTGATTGAAAATTAAATCTTATATATACACGTGTGTGCATGTGTTTTTGTGAATCGTTTATGATTTACAATTAGGTCAAATTTTGGTATATTCAAATTTAAATTCTTAAAATATAATAAAATATTCGAACTTAGATAATCAATTAAAATTTTCAAAATTTGAGTAGGGGCCCACTGCCCCCACCCCTTCTCCGCCGCAGGTCATATGCGCGTTAAAAGAGACGTGGAAGAAGCAACATCATGCGTAGGCATCCATGGGTTGCCTAGAGAAGAAACAGAAGAGGTCAAAGTTGGTGTATTTAGCTTTCTTGTTGGTTCTAACAAAATTCACACACTAATTAATGGGCAACTACATACCATTTCATTCAATGACCTAAAACGTTGAACAAGTTACACAGTCATGATATAGTATAGTTGTTTTTCGTTGACTTTTCAATGCCTCGCCTACTCGGGGTTATGAAAAAGACCCTTCCAAACCCACATTTTTCTATTCTATTTGGGTGAATTACAATTTGTACCCTAACAAATTTTAAGATTCTCATTTTATATTTTTAAATATTAAATTTTTTTAAATTATACCCTCGATGAGTCAATGTATCAAAAGTGTTAGCAATATAACACTTCTGCTAACTTTCTATTAGAAGAGTCACACTATAACACTTTTTAATTTTTGAAGGTACAAAATGAGAATGTTAAAATTTTTCAGAGTGTAAAGTCCGAAAAATACTTTGTATTTTTATTTTTTTTTTCTAAGATGGTTTTCACTTTGTCTCAATTTTAGAATAAAAAAAATTAAATTTTGATTTTCTCATTTGTGATCCTTTTTTTCACATTATTTTTTTTACTATTATGTTTTTTGTATTATATCTTCTACTACTATGTTATCAATTTGATAGTTCCCTAATTATTAACGTCGGTTAGACTAATCAAACCCATTTGATGTGTAGGTCAATATCACCTTGATTAAACACAACACGAAACCAATAACATCTCACCACAAATAGAGTGAATATTTTATAAAAACACAACGGACCATTGAACACTATGCTATAAGTCACTGTTTTCCCTTGTCATTTTTTTTTTGTTCAATTGTTAAGAGTGTTGGGTCAGTTTATATGTATCTCAACTAATTTTTTTTCTGATTTGGTAAAAAACATTTCATCCACGCTTGAATTAAGATATTCATAAAAAATAATTCGATATAATCTGTCAAATATTGTCCAGATACAAACTCAAAATATCTGAATTTTTCATTGTCTTTTTCTGCATTTCAATAATCACATTTTCCCTTTGCCGTTAAGGGTGACTCAAGGTAATTTCAGGCCTAAAATGACAATATTAAATGAGGTTTTTTATTTTTATTATTATTTTTAAAAAATAAAAAATATTTTTTAAGTAAGAGGAGGATATGATACTTTATTTTTAGTCTTTAAGAGAGAGAGAATAAATGTGAGTAAATATGAGTTTTTTTTTTGTATTTTTTTTTGGGGAGAGGGGAGGGAGACTTGAACCTTTAACCTCAAAAAGGTAAAATCTTCACAAGATAAAGAGTATTATTAGACCAAAGATTCATTGGTGAATAAATATGAGTTAACTTTTGAATTTTTTTTATTAATTTTTAAAATTTTTTATTTTTAAATTTCTAATGTTATGAATTGAACTTTAGGACCAAATTATGAAAATTTTAATTGGAAAATTTGGAGGGCAGTCCTTCTATATGAACTTATTTAGACTTAAATCCTCAAAGGAAACTTATTTGTTATGAAGTCTGTTTTTTGTTAATTTTATTAAATTATCCCTTTCCGTTAAAAGTGATTAAAAATTATAACTCCTAAATTTTAAGACTTTGACTAACATTAAAAAATTTCTCTATCATATTTATCTATATTCATATATATATTAGGATTATATCTCTCTCATATATATATACACTAGAAATTGTCTATTCCTGAAGACACTATATAACAACAACAAAAACAATAGCTCAAGCTGCATCCATCTTGGTGTATATCACAATTCTACACCACCTCTAATACACTCAGATCAAAATAACTGTTATAACAAACAAAATTTCAATAGTTGGTATGTACCAACAATTATTTTTTAAAAATGTGGTCAAAATTAATTTTAAAAATATTATCCTTGAACAATGTCGACTTGTATATACAACTTATAAAATCGGATCTTTATGTAAATAAACATGACTTAAATCAGTAATTTCATCGCATTACATTAATGGAGCCATTAACACTATTTATCATACAAATATAAACTGATTTAACACCAAACTTAAACTAATAAGAATAAGTACATGCACTTATTCCATAGAAACCAAATAACCCCAAAAATTCAAGCCACTATGCCTCTCCATCTTTATACCCAACAGAACTGCAAGCAATTGGTTATATTTGAAGGCACTATATAATATAAAAAAAATTCACAAACTCAAAAAATTGAGAAGAATCGTCAATCAATATTGACCCACTATTTTTTTAAAAAACTAATTGCCAAAATTTCTATATAAACATAACCATTGAATAGTATCACATGGTGTACATCATTTATATAATCAAATTTAGTAATTGATGCAAATTTTATTTTTACAAAATGTCTGAAACCAATGATCGACACATCATTGCACCACAATCCTGCTTTAATACAATTACTTATCAACTACTGAAATATCATAATTCAAACATTTACCAAAATAAGTATCAATGCAGTGTCCAATTGCACAAACCTAAACAAACACACAACAAGGGCTACACTAATTTCGGCCAATCATATAGCTAGCAGCTTGAGCAAAGCAAACCGAAAAATTACTCATTAATAGATGTTAGCCACATGTACGGGATAATTCCTGCAATAGTATGAGACAACAATCTCCAAACTGGCAAATCTGAAACAACAAGGCCAGAAAAAAGGAGACTAGACGAGTGCCCGACTAATCCCCTCCGAAGTTTAAGTCAGTATAAGGTCGAAGGGTTTTGCACAATGGACTACTTTTCTCATTCGAGTTTGCTTACCTTTGTCCATTTTTTTGAGGAGTATTTATACCTAAATTAGCAATGATTGCCAAAGATCTTCAGTCCTATCTGGACATCTTACATCTGACACACCAT